GGGAGCAAGCTCCATTGAAGACAGTGGGGGCTTATTTCTAAGCAGGTATATATAGACATTTCTATTCCTCCTTGCCTCATTCTACCTACAATCTTCATCATTTGCCGTGGCATTTGCTGTACTAATAACATCTCTCAAATGCTGGATCTCTCTATAGTAACTATTTCCCATCGTCTCACCATGCTTCAGTTACCTTCCATTTCTCCATATGCATTGCCCTGTGCCCAGACTAAACCTTCCTGTGTGCCTGGATGCACAATTTAGCACTAAAACCATGAATAGGGATGCAATGCCATGCACAATGTCTGCCAGAACAGGCTCAATGCTAAGTAGGGCTCTGCATAGCTATCCTGACTCAAATTGTGCTTGATTTGTACTTTGTCATCCATGACAGCCTTGCAAATTCCTTGGTCAGCCCCTTGTGACTCCCCTTATTGATGGAGACTGCGTGGCCCTGGCTCCCATGAATTCCTTCCCATTAGCAGCTCAGTTACATGGCATAAACCTAGTAAACCAATAGAGAATAGGAAAACCAGAGCATATATATTCTAGATTCTCTTAGGTGATACAACAGCACTCCTACTTATGAGTGGCAATTCATAACTCTTGGTTTGATGCAGTGTAACCAAATAGAATTTATCAGACTTGAAGCTGGGAGATCTTGGGTTCAACTCTGCAGTAAAATTTTCTACTTCATAAGGTTTTTTAAGGATATCATTTAACTTAATGAGAGATTTCCATCACAAACCTTCACTGAATTCCTGTGCCAATTTATCTCAAATTTTGTTTACCATTTTATTCCTATATTCAAATCAGTTTTAAAAAACTAAATTGGGATGCTATCATATAGAACACTCTGGGCTCCTTGCAGAAAAGGTAGGAAGCAAATTGTGCCTCCATGATCTAAACGAGAAGCCACCTTGTCTCCTGCTGACTTTAAGAAACTAGCTGCCTATTTCTCCTGCTGACTTTAAGAAACTAGCTGCCTAGAAACTAGTAGGCTGTGACAACTCAAACTTCTTCAGAAAGTCTGTATGTTCTGCTCAGCTGGCCCACCAGAGCCCCACACAAAAGCCTGAAGTTCTGCCATAGTTTTCTTGCTAAAACCTGAACACGGTGGAGAGAAATCTTTAGCTCCATTAGCACCCACTTCAATGTCCATCTTCCAGTTCTGACAGATGCACAGATGCCAGCTGAAATGACTTCTGGATGAGGCCATTGCTTCATGAGGGCATGCCACAGGTAAGTTATGATGGGAAGTTAAGTGGGAACCCTTCTCCTTGCACAGTGACACACTGCTCCCAGGAGCTGCCAGTGACACAGAAATCTTCAACGGGATATGCGAGGAGGAGAGAGGAGTGTCCATGAGAAGAAACAGCACACACAATGGGATAGGGGGGAGGATCCTAGGCATGTTTAGACAGAATATGTGTCCTGCAATTCTCAGCATAGCTGGCTAAACATGTCCAGCCATGCATAGGATTGTGCCCTAAATCTTTAAGACAGCAGCCGGGTGGCTCTAAGAGTCCATATAGCAAAAAGGAAAGGGGACAATTTGTTTTCCCTTTCCCCTGCCACTTCCATCCACAACACATGGAAAGCCAATCCTATGATCACACATGGCTCCGTGTGACTGACCTAAAAAGTGGACAAGCAATTTCCCGTTTCAAAGCACTAGCACTGAAACCAAGTTTCCTCCAATTGTCTCCTCAGATTTTTCCTCTGTAAATTTTGATGCAAAATAATAGATATTCTTTGGGTATTTGCCACACACGGATTATGTGATATCTGTATTTCAATATCCAATGGTATTTGATTTCAACATTTGCTTTCTGACATTACTGGATAGCAGGCATGCGATATGTCATATCTGGCAGTACTTTAAGAGCTAATATATATCAGCAGCTACTGTTCTGTCATAACATGTGACAGCTGAAATGTAATTGTATTTAGTCTTTGGCAATACCAGTTAGATGGTATAAAGTCATGCCTGGTATGAAGTATTATTTGACAGATGAACTGAACTGAATGGCATTTAGCATTTGACAGTATTGGGGTGCGGGGGGGGGGGGGAGGAGATCTACATGTTATGCTTGCCCAAAAAAGACTCAGTGAAGAGATATAACAAATCTAGACTACTCAGATCTCGAGGTAAAGTTCTGCATTCAGAATTTGAATTCAGATTGTTAATATTGTGAATATTTGTTTCAGCTCTACATCCAACCATGGTTTTACTGGCTTATCCTCAATCACAGTGCACCAGCACCAAAGAATTTGTCTAACACAAATCAGATTGCTGGAATTTGCAAGAACCAAAGTAGAGGATCTATCCCTGGCCAAATTCTTTATTTTGTTATCATTGTCCACATCATCACTTCATGAAACAAATCTTAATGACAGCTTGTATAGGGCTAAAACAGCATGTCTGAAGAGGTGTGGGGGTTTCCTGCTTTGCTTTTCATCATCTGTGTACATACTGTAATAGGCCCCATCTTAGAAGAGCTATTCCCTTCTGCGTAGAAGAACTCTTCTAAGATGGCATTTGCTACCCATAGTAAATACTTGTATTCAAAATTAAGTAACCTGTCAAAACAATGAAAGGTCAGAGGCTCACTTTTTAAAAGAAGAAAAGAGTCACTAGAATGAGAAACTCTAGTCACTGTGAGCAAGTGTGGCTGAAATGGGCAGCCTTCTTCACTACGAAGAAGACTCAAGAGCGAAGGGCAGCTCCCAGTCAGCTTGCGTGTGGTCTTCTGTCTCTCCCCTCCGCATGGCATACTCAAGTTCTGCAACTTTTGCCGTGTTTGCTTCAGAGGTGGGCTGCCTGCCGAACAAGGCTTTGGCGGCTGGCAACCAGGGACCCTGTGACTTGTCAGCTGCAAGGTGGCTGGGGGCACGGAGAATGAAAGAGCGCTCAGCCAAGGAGCTGGAATGAGGTAGGAGGCCCAGCGGCAATGGGCAACGGCAGTGGCTCACGGCATGGGTTCACCACGCAGCCACCGGAGGTGAAGGGGAAATGGAACGTGTGGGTGAGAGAAGGACCCGCGTTGGCAGCAGCCTCAGTGACAAAGCTGGGAGTCACAGTGGCTTCTACTGAAAAACAGTGAAAATCACTCACTTGTTTGATCGTGCTTTTCTCTGTCCAAAGGAAATTTATGTTGGCCATTCCTTTGTAGAATGCCCAACTGTTTCCTTCACTGAGGCCATGCAACCCTTCTGACTCACTGTTGCATGAGTTCATGAAGGGCTTCTCAGTGGACTTGGTCTCTTAGACTTCCAACTCGAGGCCTCAGAGTGCCTTGATAAATATAACAACATTATCTGCATCACTAAGAATGCTGCACTGAACCCGACTCACGCGGCCCATCATCAGTAATTCTGGATTCGGCATTGCTCTGGAAAAAGAACACTTGCTTAGCATGCTCTAGAATGCAAATTGCATCTCCTTGTGGATTCACAGCACTGCCATCATTTCTCCCATCTGTAAAGGGAATTTTGAGGTGAAAAACTTAGAGTACTGGCCCAAATGTAAGATTGGGTGAATTCCTATATAATGGCTTTTAATACCTAGGTTTTAACCATGTCTATTACAAAGCTCACACTTTCCAATCTGTTTCAACCCACATCGAAGGATGCCTGCTGCAATTAAATGCTGGGGTTTGGGAGGAATACTGAACCAATAATAGCACACTTGCCAGCTAAAGATTGCTCATCCCAATTACTGTACCAGTTCAGTCCCTTTCCAGTACATAGAAATATTTAACCAGTGTCAAAGTGCATCTATTACTCATGGACCCTGAACGTTAAATTAGGTAGTAAAAAACATACAACACATTATAACTTCCTTTACAAGGATCCTGTAAAATCTTTTCTGCATCAAACATGCTTTGTATTATTCATGGCTATTGCTATATTTCATTACCATTCCCTGCTATTCACTCCAAGCATACATGCACACACACACACGCACGCACACATGCACTTAAACAACCCTTATTAAGAATGTGGTTTTGTCCCTTTAACATACTAAATAAATTAATGGCTTGAAAAAGATCAATTTAGGAGGGGAAATGATTATAAAATTTTACTTCATAATCCCTTTTTCCCAGATAACAGATATTCATAATTAAAAGACTATGGAATTCATGTAAAGTTAGCTGCTTAGCCAATCAGCATCACACAAAGAATAATACAAGAAAATAAAGATGCAGGATTCACTCTTCCAATGATTGTCATTGAACATTAGTAAACATTCACAGTATGAAGTCTCTGTCTGAATATCTCCAGCATTTAAAGTAGTGCAAAAAAAGCAATCCAGTCACTTTTCCACCACATCCAGACTATGTTAAATATTTTTCTTACTTCAATTCCATGTATTACTTAACAAATTCTGCAAGGTTTCCAAAAGACTTATAAAAATAAATGATTTTAGGGGCTCCATAACCTCTTCAACAATTGAATATTCAGGGTGTTGTGTGTGGTTTTTTAAAAAAAAAAAATCACCAATCTTTAGCATTTTAAGATTAAATTTGGACTTTCAATAGAATAACTTTCCCCACAATAATCCTTAGCATTTTGAAATCAAAGACTATGAAATCCACTGAATTATGGAAGCTGTTTTTAAAGCATCAACAAATGAATACATGGCTATTGAACTTCATTGATTCTTACATAGTAAATACCTTGAAATGCTAACTTTTACCAGTGGGCAGTGAGCGAGGCGGATAGTCAAACACACCCTCCTTAAAAGTATAATTGTCTCCCTCATGTGCAAAACACCTGCATTCTAGTAAAAATATAAACTTTGAAACTACTTCAGGGAAAGCCCCCTCCACTATCATTTACTTGATATGTAAATACAAGTTTACTAATGCTTTGTAATTCATGTTTAACCAGCAAATGGCATATTTCTATATGCTTGTTTAGATTCCTGTTTGCATATTTCATTTTTTTAACCAATGCACTCTTTAATGCATGAATGGGTTTGGAAACAGTCAAAGTTAAACATCTGTTTCCACAGATTTTGCATTTACACAGTTCTGTTTTGCCGTCTCATTGCCGTTTCCTGTGACCTGACACTTTTTCTCCTTTACACAAAGAGACTCTTTAACCCCTTCCTCCATCTCCAAGTACTCTGATTTGTCTTCTGTGGAACAAGATGATGAACTTCGGAATTTCTTGAGTATTGTTGGAAGGTATGGGCAGCTAACTGCATTTTGCGTCAGCTGGGTCTGCTCATCATTCTCAGTCTCTCTGTGATAAAAATAGTTAAAGTTGGAGACAATCACTGGCACTGGTAAAGCAATGGTTAACACGCCTGCAATGGCACACAGGGATCCAACTATCTTCCCACCCACAGTTATGGGTTTCATGTCCCCATAACCAACCGTAGTCATAGTCACAACGGCCCACCAAAAGGCATCAGGGATGCTTTGAAAATGGGTGGCAGATTCATCGGCCTCTGCAAAATAAACAGCACTGGAAAACAAAATGACTCCAATGAAAAGGAAGAAGATTAGGAGACCCAGTTCCCTCATGCTTGCCCTGAGAGTGTGGCCCAGGATTTGCAAACCCTTAGAGTGTCTGGAGAGCTTGAAGATACGAAACACCCTGACAAGCCGGATGATCCTCAGAATGGCAAAAGACATGGCCTGTTGGCCATTGCTGCCCTGCTGCTGGGCCAAGTCGGTACCCAGGGTGATGAAGTAAGGCAAAATGGAAACAATGTCAATGATGTTCATGATGTTCTTGAAGAAGGCTGCTTTGCTGGGGCAGGCAAAGAAGCGGACTGTAAACTCAAAGGAGAACCAAATGATGCAGACGGTCTCAACAATGAAAAACGGGTCACTGAAGATGGTATGCCCCTCACCTTGCAGCTGTAGTGTCTCGTTACCATTCTCCAAGCTGTGGGTCAAAATGAGCTCCTTTTCATCCCTGAACTCTGGCAGCGTCTCCAGACAGAAGATGACAATGGAGATCAAAATTACCAACACGGAGACTATGGCAATGATTCGAGCGGGGCTGGAGCTCTCAGGGTACTCAAATAGCAGCCACACTTGCTTCTTGAATTCGTTTTCAGGCAGTACCTTGTCCTCTTCTTCCTTGACAAATCCTTCATCCTCTCGGAACTTGAGCATGGCCTCCTCCCCAAGTTCATAGAATTTCACTTCCTCACTGAAAATGTCAAACGGTACATTGACTGGCCTCTTCAGTCGCCCACCAGACTGATAGTAGTATAAAATTGCATCAAAGCTGGGCCGGTTCCTGTCAAAGAAATACTCATTCCGGAGTGGGTCAAAGTATCTTCCCCGCTTTGCTGGATCCCCCAGCAGTGTTTCAGGAAACTGGGCCAAGGTCTTCATCTGGGTTTCAAATCGCAGGCCAGACACATTGATTACAACTCGTTCACAGCACTCATACTCACTATAGCGGACTGAAGTATAGCCCCCTGGGCCAGCCCCGTCTTCAGGGGGCTGGTCTGTAAAGGAGAACTCATCTTCCACATCATCACTATAGTAGAACTTCCTTTCCTCGTCTTCTTCGTCCTCTCCATCCTCTTCTTCCTCTTCTTCTTCCTCGTCCTCCTCACTCAAATCCTTCAGGATCTTCTCCTCTGAGCCACTAAGGGGCAGCAGTTCAGAGCAAGGGAAAGAGGCACCGAACTCCCTGCCACCAAGGCAGGGAACCTTTTTCCTCCTTTGCTTCCTCCTCCTTCCGCTCGGATGGTAGCTGCTCCGTGACGCGTTCCCACCACAGGAAGACGAGGAAGCTCCACGACTCTGCTCCTGATGGTAGTGATGATGAGGCCCTCCTCCTCCCCCTCCTCCAGAAGCCCCAGTTTCCACAGCTGCTGTGGCTGCTGCTACGGCTGCTGCTGCAGCTGCCCTGGACTGTGCCAGTCGCTCTCTTTCTCTGGCTCTGGCTTGGGCTGCATATCCATACGGCAGGTGGCTGTTGCACCCAGAGCTATCTGCGCTTACCATGGCAACCTCCATGTTGTCTTGGTTTGTTTAGAAGTTTCAGGAAGGGAAAGCAATGTCAGTTTTCTCAGTAGGCATCACTGGGTGTTCTGCATGAGAAGGACGAGACCATGGTGGCTTGGGAATCGAGGTCCTGACAGCATTATCCCATCACGTTAGTATGCCTGTGTTTTCCATGGGCCTGTTTCCAAAAGGGGAGAATGCCATTTCTTACTGGCCAGAGGATTTATCATAAATAACTGAAGGTTGCTTGCAGAGGAGCAGTAGAGTCAATGACCTTCTAAGGTGGTCAGGAACTTCTCCTCCACTACATCCTTTTACACTGGACATCCCATCACTTAAGGTATTTTTCAGTAGTTTATGAAAATTCCACAGCTCTGAGTTCATGATCTTCCGTGGACACTTTGAAGGAAGCAAGGACTGCACCTACACAAAGTATGGCAAAGAGCTGTTCATATATATACATATAATGTATCAGATCATGAGTTCTTCAAAATAATCAAGTGCAAGATAGTCAGTAGTCTCAACTGCCTAGCGAGGAGATTGCTGATGAACAGGGCTTTTTAGAAAGTTGAAGGAACTTCCTATCTTTACTTGATTTACACAGTGAGGAGGTCTAAATGCACCCACTTTCACCAGTCAGTCAACAATGTCTTAAGCTTGAGAAAACCTCACCCAGGAGGGCAGCAGCCACTGTAGCAAGAGGAGGAGGAGGAGGAGGAGGTTGAAAAGCTGGCTCTGAGTTCCCCATTGGAGAGCTGATCACCTTTTGGTCATTCTTATGCAGTAGAAGCACTTAACCTGAGACACATGCGTGCACACAAACAAACAAAGGGGCGGGCGAGAAAAGAAAAGGGGGCGTCATCATCCAGAGATGTAAACGATGGCATTTCATATCAAAGGGCTCAGTTGTGCTTACTTGCCCTGTTCCTCATCCTCAGTCCTTGTACAGCCACCCACACTGCACACACAATTTCTGAGTCTGTGTGCATCAGGCTATATATAGATATAGTGAAAGGACTATGCAGGCATCTACACACCCACAGCTCACTCAAGAATTCTTTTATCACGAGGGAGAGGATTTTGAATGCAAATCCACAATGCATGCAGGTAGCTTTGCATTACATAACAAGCATGGGCAGATACTTGTGCCTAGCAAGGTATGGATGCAGAATAGGTGCAAGTACAACATCGCTGGCTGCATGGGTGTGTATGATTTCTGTCTTCAAATACTTGTTCTCGGAGAGTGCTTTCATTACTACAGAGAGAATTTGACCGTGCATCTACATTGCAATGTGCGACTTGATGGTCTGTGAATCAAAGAACACTGCTGTTTTGGTGGGCATGTATAAAATGATCTGTAAATATCACCAAGGGGTACACACAGCTAGGTAGCAAATATCTGGAGGAATTCACCCTGGTTCGAAATGAATGGACACAGACATAGAATCAAAGGGAACAATGCAAATTCTGCCCTGAATCCATGACAACACACCACCTTCTCATAGATTGCACAAAGTACACAATCATCCCTGACCACCAGCTTGCGAGTTACACCTTCGGAGCTGATTAGGTCGAAGGATGCTCTCAGCACTTTCCAAAATTTGAACGTGAATGATGGCAGCTTTTACGGAACAAGGCAGAGATGAGGAAATAGGCGAGAGAAGAGACTGCGTTACACGAGGAAGAGTCAAGCAGCAAAGGCGATGAAGCTTTCGCATGCCCCCCCCACCCCCAACACACACACACTTAGCATTTAAAAACATGCTTCGGAGACAAATCTTCTTAGGAGGGCTATAGCACATATCTAAATAAACCTCTAAGCATCATGCAAGTGGAGGGAGGGGCGACAACACATTCCGTTCGACTTACCGCCGTGGGCAGAGAAAAGGCAGCCGTCTGGATCTGCAGAAGGAAAGAGAGATGGAGATCATGGGGCAAAGGGGCGGGGAGAACGAGCTTTCTTCGAGCAACCTGTTTTCACAGGTGTAGCGCTCAAGAGGAAGAAAAGAAGTCGGGCTTCAGCCGGAGGAGCGAGTGCTTCCTCTTCTTGCGCGACGCGAGGACGCCCCCCGTGTGGAGAGAGCCCGAGTTTGGTGACCGAATTCGGGATGCAAACGCAGCGATCACTTCTTTCGGCTGTGAGCTTGAGAAAATGCAGCCATTGAGTGCGGGGGGGGGGGGGGAGCCAGGCTCCAGCAGAGGTATTTAAAAAAAAAAACGAGGGGGGGGCTCCGGGGGGGGGGGGCGGAGAGAAGTCAGAGCCGGAGGATCTCGTCAGGAGCGGGATCAGACGATGGCTGTGGCGAGCGCGGCTCGTTGCGCTTTCCCAGTCTGGCCGTTCGCGCGGAGCAATTGTTGTAAATCTCCCGTTCGCAATAATCCCTCGCACCGAGCAGGCTGTTGCTCTTGACAAAGAAGATGCGCCGCGCTGCCTTGTGGCGGTTCGGCCCCCTCCCGCCGCCCCCCCTTCTGTTCCCCCCCCCCGCGGGCTCACGCACCCCCGGGGCTGCAGCCCAGCACAGCTCGGCGTCCAAACTCGCTCGCTCGACGGGCAGCGTCCACTTGTTCTGGTTTGGATGGGTACTGTGCTCTTTCCCGCTCTGCGCCACCCTTCCCACCAAAATAAACAAACAAATAATCTCTCTCGCTCGCTCGCTCTCGCTCACTCTCTAATGCTCTATAAAGGGTTTTTTTTGGGGGGGGGGGTCCCTTTCGGGATTCTCCGCGTCCCGCTCAAGCGCCCCCTGCGCCTGAATTAGCTCAACATTCTGGGGCGAACAAGTCCTGTTGCGCGCGCGCGCGCGCGCGCTCCCCGTTCTTCTCCCGGCTTCTCCTTTGCAGAAGTCTCCTGCCCAGTTCTCGATTGTGTTTATGTATCCACCGAAGGACAAACGGCTGGGCTAGGTCTGATTTATTCCCGAGATTTTCCAGCTCTCTATCAGCCCCTGGTGGCCGGCATTTCCATGAACGCCTCTTTTCTTTCCTCTCGCCCCCCTCTCCCCGGCTGCGCTCAACCACCCATAGCTCTCATCCTTCTTTGGCATTCACTTTTGGTATTAATCTATAAATTATTGAAAGAAATATCCAAAACTGAATTATAGATACTCTAATATAACTTTCCACCCAAGCAACCGAAGGGCTCGGGCTTTCTTTCAACACTATCTGCTATCCAGATCTCAGAAGACATGAAAGAAAAGAAAAGAAAAGAAAAGAAAAGAAAAGAAAAGAAAAGAAAAGAAAAGAAAAGAAAAGAAGGAAGGAAGGAAGGAAGGAAGGAAGGAAGGAAGGAAGGAAGGAAGGAGTGAAATTGGGTATTGCATAATATTGGACAAGAAAAAGTCAGACATGAACCAGTCCTTCTTTCAATCTGAGCTGTAACAGCTCAGCTGTGGGGGTGAAACATTATACAGCAATTTATATATTCTGAAAGTAAATGATAGGGAAGGTTAAAAGCTCTGATTTATAACATTTGTCTACTACCCTTCATATTCTTTATCCCAGGGTGGTTTTCAATGGAAAATAAGTATGATAAGGTGCAGAAAATGAAAAGCAAATGTCAATACAAAAAGATTAATCACACTTAAAACAAGCTATGTATTGAAATACCCAATGGCTTTAAAGAATAGAACAAAGACTTTTTGTTTGCCTTTTTTTACTTTTTTGGCCAAAAAATAAAGTAGTTTCTAGGGAAGAAGTCCAGGTTGGGTGCCATGGGTGATCACCACACTTTATATGCCTGATAGTTCACTGACAGATGATCTTACCATCTGGCCCGGGTGATGTAGTTATTTTAATTAATAAACTGATTTCTATGGCACCCAGTAGGTGAAGCTTTCTGCACTGTTTACAGCCACCAAAACATCTCTTGGGGGATTTAAATCAGAACCAACACTTTGAAGGGGGCTTTAAAAAAGTCTGATAGCCAGTAGGGTTCTCATGCTCAGGTCTGACCCTTATGCTGGAGCAGCAACATGGATCTAGTTCCCCATCACTCTAACCCACGGCACTCCTGGAAATATAATATAGAGATTGTACAGGTAGGATGAGATCCTGTGGAAACCTGCCTTCACCTACCTGGTGGCAAGTCCCAAGATTCCCAACCCATACAACCATTGGTTAGCATAGCTGGACAAAGGCAGCCCTCAACTCCGGTCCCAGGATGCTTCTTCAGTGTGACTGTGCCCCTCTTTCCAGATCTCCATAGTCCTGCAACCATGGGAGATGGATCAGGGCATTGCAGCTATGGCTGTCCTTAAGGTAAGAATTGTATTTCCCATCTTTCTCTTGAGAGCATCACTGTTTACGTGCTTTGTACACTGAAGTGTGATATATCAATGGCCAGAATCCACAGGGCTATGTCCAAAGGGGGAACACAGTAATGTCCCACTGAGTATTAGTGTAATGGGCATTATGCCTCTGTGATGGATTGAAACCAGTGTGTGTATTATTTGCTTTTGAGCATGCATCTAAGTGCTACATGAAATAGAATCTAGTGCAACAGATCTTGGTGCTATACAGAATCCAGAAGCCCTCTTTCTCCATTTTTCAGCATCATCCTTTCCTTATACAGCCCAGGAAACAGGTGCTGGAAATTAATTTCTATATCCAGGCTCATAATTAGAAAGTCATTCCATTAAATCTTGGCTTCCAACCAATAAGGTCTAATGCCAAAAGACAGAATACCTCACCAGGCCTAACATGCCTTAAAAATAATCAAAATTGTGACACTTCCTGATTGATGCTAATCCATAAAAAAAAAAAACCAAGAATGGCATACAAATATGACTGGACTTCTTCTTTTTGGCTTTTGCTACCCACAAATTATGCTACAACTGACTGGAGAAAGACAGTAAGGCTGACTTCACAGAACACCCTTTTTCCTGATGCATCCATGGAGGTGACTGCTGGAAAATCCCGGCCCCTCTTAGTCATGCTGGCCATGATCCAGCCATATTTAACCTTTAAGTCCCATAGATTTCAGTGGAAAGGGGCATTTGATTAAATTTAGCATT